TTGCTAGCCCGCAAAGGCTCCAAACTTTCCAAAATAAAATTCCAAACGCCTTCCCCAACAGGCACCCCAGGGCCAAGGCCACTTCCCCAACAGGCACCCCACGGCCAGGGCCAAGGCCACTTCCCCAACAGGCACCCCAGGGCCAGGCCACAGCAATGGCTTTCTTAGGCTTTCAAAGCTGCCGTTTGCCAGCCCGCAAACCCTCCAAAACTCTCCAAAACTCTCCAAACGCTCCAAACCCTCCAAAACCCGCCAAACCCTCCAAACACCGTCCCCAGCAGGCACCTCAGATCCACCGCAGGTGTGGACCTTGTCCTCTTCCAAACCCTCCAAACCTTTACCCTTAAGCAGCTTCCCCAACAGGCACCCCAGGGCCAGGGCCACAGCAATGACTTTCTATGAGCTTTCAAAGCTGCCGTTTGCCAGCCCGCAACGGCTCCAAACGCCTCCAAAATTCCAAACCCCCAGGGCCAGGGCCACAGCAATGAGACTTTTTATGAATTTCAAAGCTGCCGTTTGCTAGCCCGCAAAGGCTCCAAACTTCCAAAACAAAATTCCAAACACCTTCCCCAACAAGCACCCCAGGGCCAAGGCCACTTCCCCAACAGGCACCCCAGGGCCAGGCCACAGCAATGGCTTTCTTAGGCTTTCAAAGCTGCCGTCTTTGATCCACCCGTGGCTTATTCTACCTAGAAACTCTTTCGGGATTTCTTTTCTGCCGGATGCCAAATTTTCTGCCAAATTTATGCCCGGAAATTTCAGGAATCCTGGAAACTACGCCGGAATCATGTGCAATGAAGCCGGCTGGAAAAAAACATGTATATGTATATCCGCCGACCCCGGTCGACCGCAAGGGGGAGCGCGTCAGGGAAGAGAGGTTGTGGACACCAAGAAATACAACAACGGGTCAGGGATCAGCAGCAGCAGCAAAAGCCTCTGCAGCAGCAGGAGGAAAAGGTAGCCAAAATTCATAGCAGCAGCAAGAGGAAAAAGTAACCAAAATCATCATTTTCTATGCGTTTTCGCTAGGCATTTACGGGGTGCAATTTTGGGGTTTCTCCGTCCTTCACTGCCATGGTGTTTTCCCATCCGGGTACCAGCAGCAGCAGCAGCAGCAAAAGCTTCTGCAGCAGCAGGAGTAGGCAGCAGCAAGCAGCAGCCAGCACCAGCAGGAGTAGGCAGCAGCAGGCCGCAGCCAGCACCAGCAGCCAGCAGCAGGCAGAAAAAAACATGAGGTTACAATGCCAGTCCTAAAAACGGAGGGTCCTTGCCACTCAAAGTATATATCAATCCATCCGTCTTTCTTCCTATGCCACTATCTGTCTATCCAACAATCGATCTATCCATCTGTTTATCCAACTGTCTATCTACCTATCTGTCATCTATCTCTCTCTCTCTCTCTCTTTCTCTCTCTCTCCCTCTCTCTCTCTCTGTCCCTCTATCTATACATCTGTCCAACAATATCTATCCACCTGTTTATCAAGCTGTCTATCTACCTATCTATCAATCTATCTCTCTCTCTCTCTCTATCCCTCTATCTATCCATCAATCTATCATCTATTCACATGTCTACCTGTCTGTCTGTCTGTCTGTCTGTCTCTCTATCTATCCATCCATCCATCCATCCGTCCATCCGTCCATCCATCCATCCATCCATCCATCCATCCATCCCCATCTATCCATCCATCCATCTCTCCCTCTCCTCTCTCTCTCTCTCTCTCTCCCCTCTCTCTCTCTCTCTCTCTCTCTCCCCCCACAGTCCCCCCCAAATAGAGGGGGGTCGGCGGCACCTGGGCGCTAGCCCATTCTATAATTTTCAGAAAATTCCCAAATTATCAAAATTTCCAATATTAAATTGTAAAGAAGAAAATTGAGATTTAGTATGGATGCAGCAGGAAAAAATCAAAACCAGTTACAGTTCAGCTGTATTTTTTCCCTTCTTCCTTAGTGTTTTTCATTGTGGTTGAATGGTTTTTAATTGTGATTGCATGTTTTTTTCAAAAGCAAAAACAAAGCAAACCTTTACCAAATCAAAAACTTCACCTTGTTCAAAAAAGTTGTTTTCTTTATTAAAATCATTTTAAAAAAATCCAAAAAACAGGTCCACAAAGGGTACCCCCTTGCAGGTCCTTGCATTTGCAATTAAAAACTGGAATTAGCACTTGCAAGAAACAACCTTCCTGACTCTAGCAGGCATTTTTTTCCCCTTCTTCCTATCAGAATCCAATGAAGATCCCATCAGAGCCCATCAGAAAAGAGAGGATTTGTCAAAACCTTACAGAAGCCTTTGGGGAAGAGTTGGGATTTTCGATTTACTATTGCAAAGCAGACCCCCCCCCAAAAAAAAAATATATATACTATCAGGGGGGACCCCCCTTTACTATTGTCGATGTAACATTATTGGACACTCCCTCTTTTGAAATGGTCTTTGCAGGATCATTTCCCTTTCCCAAGTTCAGCTGGTTTCACTGTGGCCGCTCACCTCCCAATCCAATGGCATCCCATAGCACACCCCGCATCCAAGCTGAGCATCTGGTTGGAAGTGCGCCGTGACCATGGAATCCATGAGCGCCAACACGGTGTTCCACCTAAGGTCACAGGTTCTGTAATCCGATTCCGCTCAGCCCTTAGTATATCCTCCAGGAAGCAAACATGGTCATGGAAAATGGCCATGTTGAAAAGGGAAATCTACAAATGGGATCAAATGAGTCATGTTGCCGCATGCCTATATCGAAGTACCAGGGGGAAGCCAACTGAGCAGTGTGCAAAACCCGAAATGCCGTTCCATCGTACTGCTTGGCTACGAACAGGATTCGTAGCTCATGGATGATGATAATACTTGATGTACTGATAATATTTAACCTCTATAATCATCAAACATCCATCATGTATCGGTACATGACCATATGTTTGATGGTTAACCCCGGTAACCCCCTACAAATCATGGAAACCCCATATAAATATGAATATAAATATATATATATAAATCATGGGCAACCCTACCAATCATGGTTTTAATCCGCATGAAACAACGAATGAACCAGGGCAAAATGCACACTGATCTCCTCTGCCGGGTCACTGCTCCGCTTTCCTTGTGAGGATTAGGGGGCTATCCGTTGGTTGGGAAACTGATACGGTAAACCATCCACGTTCCATAGCTATGTTGAATTAACGGAGGCTAAATCCTGTCATCCAAGCTGGGGAAATCCAACTCATATGAATAAGCTGAGAATAAGTTGGAATGTTTGCTGAATGAGTACGGTTGATTAATATGGTACCTGAAAACGATGTATGTACTTGAACTCAGGTCGGTTTCCATGGGACAGGCCGTTTCCAATAGTAGAGGTCACATGCTGGTGTGATTATTCAAAGTACCCTGAAACATAATCTATCAAGCTTTATTGACCCGGTTGACATGATCCAACTTCCCTTAGTATCAAATCCAAATCATTTCTGTCCATGTACGTACTATATGGCCATTATTCACCTATCCATAACATACGAACTGGATCGAATTGGCGGGATACTTTGATGGCATTTGGGAAAAAACATGGGCTTGTTCAAAAACATGAAAGGGTCTATGCTCGCAATTCTCAATTCGCCCCTTTTATTAAAACTTGTTTTTTATTGAGGGTGCACGGTATGCCCCGTCGTCGTCTTTAAAGCCACCATGGTGCCATCCACCTCTGGTGAAGCCAAGCCACGCACAACTGCTGAGGCATGAATTCCAGGTGATCAAACTTGGGATGCGAACGGTTTGGTCCATGATGTGGAGCCTGAAAGGTCTTGCGGAATGGGGATGTTGGGGAAGGGTTGGGGAAGGTTTGGGGATGAGGGAACCTGCAGGTGAAGAAGAGCTAATATTCAATTCACACGTGTCACTATCTTCACCAAAAGGGGTCTTCAGATGATTGAAGCACATTGAAGTATTACACTTATTCCTTACACTTGGATGTCAAATGGGATACTTGAAAATGGGCTTATCCCAAAAATCCCAGCCCTCGTGACACTACCTTGGAAAGGTAGTAATCGAGCTCGGTGGAACATCCCTCTAGGGAAAAGTCATTTATGGGAAGGCAATGAACTCAATGAATAATTATATAGGTTGATTTATTTTGGTATCTCTCCATAGTGGATTTTGCCGAACCAGATTAGAATGATTGATGCCCAAACTGGAACCATTTTAACCATGCTTAGCTCCAAAGTTTAGTAGGTCCAACGGATGTAAACCTAGGACTTATTTTCTATCCTATTTTTGCATTTTCCTCTTCATTGTCTCAATCCTAGGAACAAGGATTTTCCCAGAGACATGGATCCAGCGGCCAGGCAACGCGACTTGCCATGCCCCTGCTTCCTCACAAGAATTGATGGCCGCATTCAGCGTGATGGTGTTGGCTTCCTTCTGCTCATGTGGATAGGTCATCATATGTCATATGGGGATGACCTCTGTCTATATATATATACACTCACCCCCAAAAAATAGGTTTTAGATATTGGTTTCATTGAAATTACCGATCAAAGATTGTGATTGAATGGTGGTTTAAAATGGTTTAACCATCAAAAATGGTGATTTAATGTCGATTTAAACATCAAACATGGTGATTTGATAGTAAGCTCACTAACAAGCATGAAAAATGACACATGTGATTTTATCTTATCAGCAAAATTGGAAGTACAAATAGGAAATGATTATCCAATCACCAAAAATGAGTATACATGGGGTTATTAATGATTAGGGCATACGAAGGAACAAGTACCCCGCGCCGTGATACTCCCAATAACAAGGGTTTGGGGTGGGGCAAAACTTAAGAATCTTAACATACAGTAACATTTTGGGGTCACCAGAATGTCCCAATGTGGAACATGGGAAGTGCAGGGAACATCATCCATAAATGCATAATTTTCTATTGCCATGTTTGATTACCAGTAGGAGGTCTAGTAGTCTGGGCAGGGACAGGATGAACATGAGAACATGGAGCCACGCAGAGCTCGGCATCTCTGAGGGAGGAGTTGTTTGGAATCAAAATATAATGATTACATATAGCAACTCCAAAGAGGATACAAACAACGGAAAGCTGAAGCATATGGAGAACACAAAATCTATACAATCTTGGACAAACTTTGCGGGGGTTGCTATCGGGAATGTATGGATCAATCGTGCTTTCTTTCAAAGAGTTCCCCGGCTGGGCGTATTGTTTAAATATGTTTAAATCATTTAGGAGCCCGAACATTGACAAAAAACTCGCGAGTGCAAGGATATTTCTTCAATCCTGCAAGGTGATGATCACTGAGGGTGTCCACCAATCAATTGAGTGAAATAAAATAACCCACTAACATCCGAATCAACGAGTTTGAAGGTATGTTCCTTCCTTCTAACTTGTAGTTTTTGGGGAAATTCATGTTAGATTAGACAAATTTCTGGCAGTACGCGTCATGGCACATGGTTCCAGATCAAGTTTCGCAGCGCAGCTGCTCCATTGTCTGCAAGAGATTCAAGGACCTCACGACCGGAATCGGTGGTTCCCATGAATTTGTATATAATAGACACTAAAATGCATAAAGTATATACACACATACATACATACATACATACATACATACATACATATATATATATATAGAGTATATATATATTATACTGTGTTCTCTGTACAGCGAATTCATATTTACAGTATAGTCTAATCACGAGAATCTTGGGATATGTATGTACGTGGAAAATAGTTCAGTATCGGTGTAGAAATGGTTAAATTCCATCGGATATCCCATGCAAGATTCTGCAAGATCCCGCTGATGCTTGGGCTGAGTACCCAAGTACTGAGGGGTGACTGAGGTTTCCTAAAAAAGGAGGGGTACCCCAAAATCATCCAAGTCATTAGGCTATTAAAAATTTTAGTGTTGAAAGCTATGGTGACTTGGGGATCCCCCATTTCAAGAAACTTCCATATGTGCTAACTTAGGTGATAATCCCAACAGCACATCCCACTGCCCAGCCACTGCATACACTGATCAGCAAGGACTCCAGGTTGGAGGGTTCAACCGGAAAAAAAAAAACTTTTATAGTTCAAAGAGTCAAAATATAAAATCATGACTCAAGGTTACCAACTATAACTATATGATTGAACTCATTTTTTACTGTTAACTAGTTAGTAACTAGTTGACTATGTCACCATAAGTCATCACAAAACTAAGCTCTTTCGGCAACTCAGGTGCCAAGTACCTGCCCAAGTTCTTTTCGGCAGAACTGCTGATGCGTTGGGAAATGAAGTTGTTGATTTCACTGCTGTCCCGTGTGAGTTGACGATTCACCATCATGTTATAAAATGAAACTTCCAATCCATGGGGGTACCCCTGGATCATCCATTTTAAATGGATTTACCATGATAAACCAACATAAACCAACCAATTTGATCCAATTTGATCCATTTTGGGGATCCCCCATGGCACCCCCCTTTTCTCGGCCTTGTTCCCCGCCGTTACCGGTGCCAAGTCGCCAAGTCCACGTTGGGCACTCAGATCTTTTCAGCAGGGAGCCGAATGTGATGACATCAATCCTGGCGGGTGAAGCGCCAAGCGATGACCAGCAGCATGACGTTGGTCAACATCATCACCCAACAAAGACCAGCAGCATGACAAACATCACCATCATCATAATCAAACAATAATAATAAACATGAAAAGCATCATTGCCATCATCATGATAATCTTCATCACCACCTTCACCATCACCACCATCATCACCATCATCATAAAAATAAGAACAATCACCATGATAATCATAATCATAATCATATTCATAATCATCATCATCGTCATTATCATAATCATCAAAATCATCATCATAATCATCAGCATCAGCATCAGCATCATCATCATCATCATCATCATCATCATCATCTTCATCAAAAAAAACAGCAATAACAACCACAATGATAATCATAATCATGGTCATAATCATCATCATCATCAGCATCATCAGCATCATCAGCATCATGCTTTCTAAAACTGTGACACCGGAAATCTTGAGCCCTAACGGACTCCCTTCGATCACTGTCAACTGTCAACTTCATATTTGCAACTTGATGTGAACTACCTAAAATATCCTAAAATGTGGTTTACAATGTTGTAGACTACACAGACATGTGCCAAAAACACACAAATCAGCCATCAAGCAGCCATGAAAAGAACAAACTTACCCAAATCTTTAGAAACAAGCTTCTGTAATGCGGAGATGTAGAAAGCCTCCATCATTGCCGTGGCACTCTGCCATCTCCCCGCTTCGTTCAGGGCAGCGATGCCTCCGGCTCATGAGGAACTGAGATCATAGATATCAACAAGGCTTGGACGGTGGTTCCAAAAGAGTGCCCCCCCCCCCCCACATCCTCCAAAGACAATTTTGGTATTGAAACTTGAAACCCATGGGCTTGGGGTACCCATTCATTCATTTTGGGAAATAATCTCTGCAACACTTGTCGATGGTAATTAGCCAACGCATGATGTTCTCTCTGGGGAAGTTTCGAGTCAAGGGATCGGTTTAGTACCATTGCAGATTAATTGTTCGATGCGGTGTGCCACGGGGCACGCCTGTATATGCTGGTGAAACACCTGGTGAGAAAAAGGGATGCCAATCAAGCGTAACACGTTTGGCAATTGTAATGACATGTCAGCATCGCACATGTGTATAATATATATATATATTATGTATTTATATATATATGGACATGATTGGTACATGTCAAGGTGTGCACATCTGTCAAATTGCTATGTGAGTCCACATCACCACCTTCTGGCAGAAAACATGGTCGCCGAGGGGCTCAAAACAAGCTATAGCGCAGTGGTCGCCATAAGGTCCATGGCAAAGTAGTAAAGTGGTCATTTTTTAAAGAAAACAAACCAACTCTCCACCAGTCAGCTTACAAAGCTTACCCTTTTAACACAAGCCCTACCAGCCGAGCACCTGCATTGACACATGCCACGTTGGCGCTACTCCCTCCAGCACCACAGAGGAACTGCAAGGAACTTTGCCAGTTCCGCCGGCAAGTGCCTAGATGGCCCAGCGGTGATCATGGCTCCATCGCTTTCGTGGAATGCTTGATGAATAGAACTTCTGACTAGCAATTACTATTACAGGTAAAATTGCTAAAATTGCTAGAGATATCACTTATGCAAGTAGAAATGACTGGGGCAAGCATCATAAGTCATACCGTCCGCTCAAATCTAGCCGGATCTAGCCGGCGAGGTGAATGGTTGTTCTGCGTTTGAACCAGAAACGACACACACAATATACATATATAATTATAAATATATAATATTTACACATATATATATATATATAAATCTCTATACCTATACTTATATATTTATATTTGGCTAGAGAAATCAATAGCTTTCTGTTGCCAGGTCCTTCCTTCCTGAAGGAAGCCTCCACCCACCCTGACTGCTGGACCATGGGCTGATGGCAATGCTGTGGCAAAAGTCATCCGCTTCCAGGGTATGGCATTTCAAGTCCTGCCCACATCCCTTCCGTCGTCGGACAAGGTGGATACCCTCAAAATGGCATTGCTTTACATTGATTGCAAGAGGGACCAAATAAACTAAACCATCCCCAGTTTCACCACTTACAGTAAATGGATTCCCAATTAGTTGATGATTGGATTTACATACATATAATATCAAATAAATATATATATATATACATATGGTGTCTACATGGGTTTGCCACATTACTACTACCAGAGCCTTAAAAAAAAAAAATGTCGTTTTCGTCGGAAAAAAAGCGATGGCTTTCCGCCGCGCCTGAAAGGTCTGAAGTGACAAGGCCCAGTTCTCCAAAGAACTGAGGTAAGCTGCTGCAGTGTTGCCTGGCAACACCACTGCAGGGACATGAATGTTTCTGACATTCATGGTGTCAGGTGTTCCTGTACAGTAATGTAATGTAATGTAGTGTAGTGTGCTGAGTGCTGCCATGAGTACGTATATATAATATATATAATATATAATAAATATATATATATATATATGTAATATACAATATATATATATTAATATATACACCATTTGCCGCGGAACATGCATGCAAAGATGAATTTGTGCACATTTTTTGGAGTTGACTGTTCTCTGTGTTATCTGTGGCAAATGCATTTCAAGGACTGAATAAATGGGCGCTACGGACAACCACTGGCCAGCCAGCAACACATCTGTAGCCAAGCTTCTGTAGCTTGTGACCTGGGTCAACAGAAAAAGAGCTTTGAAAGGGAGGCCCAATTCCCCAATCTGTATTCATTATGATATATATCCATCCTTCCGATGATCTTATCATCGGGTATCATATTGATCATAGCCCAGTATGCGTTGTCATTGTGGTTCCAATATTGATATTAACGAACCACGGGTTTAGTAATAGGGGGTACCAATGATACTAGTATGCGATGGAATCAATATTTATCAATATTTTGGTGGTGAACCCGTAACACGCCTAATAAATCAACCAAGGTTGTTGATCGGGGGTTGACATTGAATCTTGGGAACTGGCTGTTGGATGGGTACACTGAAGGAATAAACTGGCGATTCTATAATAAATAACTGCTACATAATCTGATTGGAGGTTTCAACCCATCTGGGAAATTACTTTACTTCGTGTGATCCCCACCATGACATTTATACATTTTCTTACTGGCAAATCTTCTGGCATTCTATCTGACATATCTTCTGACATTCTATTTGGCATTCTATCTGGCATATCTTCTGGCAAATGATCTGGCATATCTTCTGGCAAATCTTCTGGCATTCTATCTGGCAAATCTTCTGCCATTCTATCTGGCATATCTTCTGGCACTCTATCTGACATATCTTCTGGCATTCAATCTGGCATTCTATCTGGCATATCTATCTGGCATATCTATCTGGCATATCTTCTGGCATATTATCTGGCATTCTATCTGGCAAATCTTCTGGCATTTTATCTGGCATTCTATCTGGCATATCTTCTGGCATTCTATCTGGCATATCTTCTGGCATATATTCTGACATATCTTCTGGCATTCTATCTGGCATTCTATTTGGCATTCTATCTGGCATATCTTCTGGCATATCTTCTGATATTTTTTCTGACATTCTTTCTAACTTTCTTCTGCACATTCTTTGTCCCATATCTTCCTACATGAGGTCCGGCAGGGAAAGATTTGCCAGGTAGAATGCCAGAAAATATGCCAGAAGATATGCCAGAAGATATTCCAGAAGATATGCCAGATAGAATGCCAGATAGAATGCCAGAAGGTATGCCAGATAGAATGCCAGAAGATCTGCCAGATATAATGCCAGAAGATCTGCCATATAGAATGCCAGAAGATATGCCAGATAGAATGCCAGATAGAATGTCAGAAAAGATGTCAGATAGAATGTCAGAAGATATGCCAGATAGAATGCCAGAAGATATGCCAGATAGAATGCCAGAAGATATGTCAGAATATATGCCAGATAGAATGCCAGAAGATATGCCAGATAGAATGCCAAATAAAATGTCAGAAGATATGTCAGAAGATATGTCAGGGAACAGTTGGCATGGATACTCGCGGTTGAGGTCCGGCAGGGAACACTGGGCGCGGATGGTCGTGGTTGAGGTCCGGCAGGGAACACTGGGTGCGGATGGTCGTGGTTGAGGTCCGGCAGGGAACACTGGGCGTGGATGGTCGTGGTTGAGGTCCGGCAGGGAACACTGGGCGTGGGTGGTCGTGGTTGAGGTCCGGCAGAGAACACTGGGGATCGCGGGTCGCAGTTGAGCAAGGACGACGAGGACGACGAGGACGACGAGGACGACAAGGACGACAAGGATGACAAGGAGGACGAGGAGGAGGAGGACGAGGCAGGAGGAGGCGGAGGAGGCGGAGGAGGAGGAGGAGGAGGAGGCAACTGACATAAAATCTAACAACCCTCACCTGGCAGGTGGGGAAAAAACAACTTAGTCATTCATTGTGGATAAGCTTCCTAAAAATGGTTAAACATTAAATAAATGCACAAACGCACCAACCAGTTCACATCCCCATTGGTGGTTAACATCACCACTTTCCACCACATTTACTCCAGCTGGTGGTTGATTAAACCAAATCTGGAGCTGGTGATTTAGGGTTGCTCCCAACACCCCAAATACTAGAGGTCAGACGATTGGGCAAATAAAACGGACAAATCGCGTGTTTTCCGTCCTTGTGGCTATGACAAATGGGGACATGCTTTTGGATTCTGAAAGATGCTAAAGCCATCCATTCTGAAATCATCCCCGATGTTGCCAGAATGGGTCGGTATTACGCGTTCAAAATTTAGGGGGGTTCATGGGATTGGGTTTGCCACATGATTCACACGATACATGTTTATCGGGTGTATTCATTCCATCACCACTTTTGGTTGATTAAATCCCTTGTTCTTGATGGTTATTTGTTGGTTACTTAACTTAAATCCCCTGTTCTTGGTGGTTATATACTGTAACTTTTCTATGTTCTTAATGGGTGTATTCTCATTGTATCCCTATGGAATCCACATTTGAGTTGAGATGCTTAAATCCCCATGTATGCTGGTTGATATTAGGAGTGTTCATCCCCAGTTACTCACCAAATCAATCCAAATCAAAATTGGTTTAAACAATTGAAGCCTATATATATATATATGTGTAATTCTATATGTCTATCTCCCGTTTACACCACCATTTTGGTTGGTCAAATCAGTTCAGCATAGTTCAGCCACCAGTTAAGCCACAGCTATTGCTTCACCAGCTGGTGACCTCCTCATCAGCCAAGCTTCCTCCAGCTGCAGCTGCATCTGTCGCATGGCCTTCAGCAGGGAGACACCCAAGGTCCAGCACTGACAGGCGCTGATGGCGGCGTGGCAAGCGCCCTGACAGCGTTGAAACAACGAGGACGCGCAACGGGGACGCGTTACGGGGTGCGAAGCCCACGACGCCCAAAAGAAGGCCGGGAAAACGGGAGGTTTCCGAGCAAGTCAAAAGGAATTCACATGAATTCACATGAAATCTACCAATCAGAATTGAGACTTGATATGATTTCAAGATGATTTGCTATCCAAAATATAGGAGCATGCAGCACCTGTTGGCTCATCCCAGGATTTTCAATTTAGGCCAATATAAAGAATATCTATATATATATATATATATAGAGCATATAAGGAACGTAGGGGCAATATGCATTTCTAAATTCGGTCAACTAACCCACTTACTCATTGGAGTGAAGCAACAAGCAGGGATTTCAGCAAATTTATCCTTCAAAAGAGGGACTCAATATGATCAATATGATTGTTCTCATTTTATCACAAGAAACGATAGTCAACTGGGTTGGATTGAGGGAAACATTGCGGTTGACCCCTTGGTTTCAGCATCATCCAAGGTGCAAGTCAATGCCACTAAATATGGCCCACAATTTTATCAAAATTGATGTGCTTTTCAGGGGTTTAACGAGCCAAATATATAGGAGTCATTCATTGGGTGCAAAATGCAATTCACAGGAAATTGGTCTTAAGATGTGAAACAATACCTTCAAATTAAGCATGATCATGAAAGGGTACCACAATCAAAAAAACATCATAATCACATGGAGTTTACATGGAACGAACTACGAACCATCAATAATATTTGGGGTCGCAACCTAGTAACGACCATGCGTGCATCTACAAGCAATGGCTATGTGACGATCATACCACCCTGGCGAACGGGAAGTTCAAAGGCCTTTTCAGAGCACTATAATCCTACTTAGACTCGTGTTGATTACTGCTGTGCCCAATATGAAATCTGGTACCGGCGCTGATAGCGGACTCGGTGTTTTTAATGATTTTTATTTCAAGCATTATGCATGGATTTGTTTAAAACTGTGGCGCTGTGATGATTTTGTTATTTTACCCAGAATTAGAAATGTTGTTTTCGTCCCACGTTACGCTAGGAATTTACTCATTGATCATTGAATTCTATTGGGATAAATAATTGACAAATGTGGATTTTGGAAAACGAAACCTCCACAGCTTTTGAAGCTCGACTTTTTTCCTTCATGGATTCAGCGTTTGCGTTTGCTGACCTTTGCGCACAAGTTGGCGAGGCTTCCTTTCAAGTCCTCCTTGTGGATTCAACGATAGGCGAAGGACCACACATATTGTCGGATCCTTTGAGAACCCTTCCTGGTAACTTTGTCTTTGCTATGGGCCGAGAAGGGTACGAAGTGACAAGAGACATGTTACAGCGTAGCATCCAGAGCGTCTGGCAAGTGACAAGAGACATGTTACAGCGTAGCATCCAGAGCGTCTGGCAAGTGACAAGAGACATGTTACAGCGTAGCATCCCGAGCGTCTGGCAAGTGACAAGAGACATGTTACAGCGTGGCATCCAGAGCGTCTGGCAAGTGACAAGAGACATGTTACAGCGTGGCATCCAGAGCGTCTGGCAAGTGACAAGAGACATGTTACAGCGTAGCATCCAGAGCGTCTGGCAAGTGACAAGAGACATGTTACAGCGCACCCCTTGTCCCCCCACCCCACCCGGTTCCCCAAGAAAATCACACTATCCTTCGTGCAATACTTTTAACTGACGTGCAATACTTCTAACTGACGTGCAATACATCTAACTAACGGGCAATACTTCTAACTGACGTGCAATACATCTAACTAACGGGCAATACTTCAAACTGACGTGCAATACTTCTAACTAACGGGCAATACTTCTAACTGACGTGCAATACATCAAAATTAACGGGCAATACTTCAAACTGACGTGCAATACTTCTAACTAACGGGCAATACTTCAAACTGACGTGCAATACTTCTAACTAACGGGCAATACTTCTAACTGACGTGCAATACTTCTAACTAACGGGCAATACTTCTAACATACGTGCAATACTTCTAACTAACGGGCAATACTTCTAACATACGTGCAATACTTCTAGCTAACGGGCAATACTTCTGACTGCCGTGCAATGCGATAGGGAAAAAAAACAGCATTGCCTGCGGGTCCGTTAACAGCGCCGGTAGCTGAAAGCTATGGAAAATGGAGAAAGGATTTGGACGTGCAACGGGGGTGTCACGGGGCTGCAACTTTGTTTACAATGACTTTAAACTGCCAAAATATGGATCCATATGATGGAGACGGTACTGCATGGTTCAACCAACCCGCATCATATCATCATCCCAAAAGAAAGCTGGCAGCACATATACCAGTTGTCAGGGGCCAAGCCGGGGCCATTTATAAGTCACAACATGTCATAATTAACATGCATAACCACGAACTTCTAGGACTCCAATTTCTCGTCCCAGCTGGCACCTGGTTCTTGGTGATCTCGTTGTGATGCATTGATTCCAGCAAATTCATTGCCTTGTTGGGATTCGCAACGGAACGCGGATTTTTCAAGGTTGTTTTTGCACACCCGTTGGCACCAAGAATGCCAAAAAGCATGTTCGCATGAATGTATAAATATATTTATACATTAATATACATTAATATACATTAATATGTATACATATACATGGGTATTACATGGGTATGAATGCATGGAATGAGATGGAGTGAGTCTAAATACTGCAGGTAGACTACGCCTTTTGAACTTCACATAAATTCATATAAATTCACACCGCTGTGACTGTGCCTGCTGTTTTCACTTTGTCTGCTCTTTGAAATCGAGCCTGGGTATCCTTTACACAGGGGGAGAGTCATGTTTGAGACCCAATTGCATAACCGGTGCTTGACGACATGACGTGTGTCTCTTTACTCTCACCACATCTGCTGTAAGCACTAGCTCGTGGTTTTACATCATCCGAGAGACACACTCGTGTGGAACGCTAAATCTCACCAGGCAACATGGAGCCACTCTTGTTGCCAAGCAGTGCCGAAGAGAACGCAGCGATAATGCACCTCTGGCAAAAAACCGCTGCAGCTGCTCAGCATCGCAATTCCAGAAAGGACATGTCAATGCGAATGGGGCTATCGTTTGGGAAGGAGGGCTACAAGCCTCCAAAACATGTTTGAAACAGGTGTTGTCATTTTTTAGCCTCCAGTAAATTAACATAGACCCTGGCTAATAGGGGTTGGAAAATAGTTTCCACTGAAAATGGTTCATTTTCAGGCTCTATGTTAATTTATTAGAGAGTAAACTACCATCAAAAATTACTCACCATCACCTACCATCACTCACCATCAACACCCGATCATCACCCAGAGTCCCCCTCCCTGACCTCGCTAGGATGCAAGAAACAGGCACGTACAAATTCACTCAAAAAAGCCCCGGCAAAACAAAGACCATCCCCATATTTCTCTATCAAACATAATAAACACGTATAGAATCCATAAAATCATGTATACACTAGATCCAACCAAGGTCCAAGGGTTCTGGGTAGGTATCGAATATCATACATCAAGTACCCCTATAGTCGCCAGTGTAGCGTATAGATCCAACCTTCCCATTTAATATCTAATGAATCTAATCATCTACTAATCTCATCCTCCTAAGATGAAATAATCAACCCCCACAAGCTGTCGTTTAGTTGGGACTTTACACTTATTTGGGACCATAAGGAGTGTTAAATATTGGGAGGGTGTGAGTAACAAGCCTAGGCGTTCCCAAGAATATGAAAGTATTCCCCATTAGATTCCAACGTGTGTAGATATTCCGCATACTCCCTACCTTTTTGGCAACCAATTATACACACTGCTCTCCCATAGTGAGCCAACTTTGTTTATACTTCCAAATATTAACAAGGGTTCATGGTAAATATATCTATAATATGTATATACTTTTGAATACATATATCTATAGATTGTTTTTTACTTTTCATCGGGTCAGCCTGTATGTCACTGTTGTCTTACAAAGCCGCTCCCAGCTACTTGCACACATGTAGAAACCAAGTGCAACATGAAAACAGAAAAATCAAGTATCATCAGTTACCCATAGGAAGGGCAATCAAGAACAACAACTGAACAAAAAAAACATGAAGACACAACTGTGGACCAAAGAAAGTACAAACATATGAATGAGTCCTTGATTCAAATGATCATCTTGAACAGCACATATCGATACATGTGATTCAATAGTGTGAAATATAAGATTCTATCAGTTATATACATAAAATACCGTATTATACAGTTAAAGTATCTATAGTGTTGTATTATATCATTTTTATCAATATCATATATAGCTGTATGAGTTATTGACAAGCACAGAAATGGGTGACACCATTGGTGCAGACTTCGTTGGCAAGTGATGCAAGCAGGGGAGGCAAGGGCCAGAATTCGCTGCTTTCTGCCGCAGTGCTGAACGCTTCAGTGTGCAGTGTAGCAAAAAAATATGATTTATTTGTTATTAGATACAGTATATTATGTAGTCATAAACCAACAAACATCGCTGGTGACTGAATGGCCCGCCTCGTCCAGCCTCACAGCGAGCTTTCTCATCTGCTGCATCAGATGCAGGGCGCCCTGGAGCTGGCCTCGACGGAGATTTCGCATGGGAGAGTCATGGAAAAATCATGGGAAAAAACATCTATAATTGATTTGGAATGAATGGACACAAATAACAAAATAATGTAAAATTGACATAAATGGAGGCAAATGGATTTCTATATGGCAAAAAGTCACCCTTACAATGTATAAGTAACAAATGAGGTAATTGGGGGTGAATGGACATGGATGATGGATGGAATATATAAACAGCTAAATACAACACATCAATCGATCATATTATGGATACAAATGGAAATAAGTGTCATTGCAAGTTTTTCTGTAAGTACCAAATTCATTTCAAACATGCCTAAACATTGAACCCAAAGAAATGCCGGGAATTCAAACAGTTTAAATTCAATGGACATCCCTCAGCAAAACTCGTGGCATCAATGGTGGGTGACTTTTTGGGTTTGAAGTCGAAGTTGAGATCTGAAAGTCTGAAACTCCTGCAGAACCACAGTTGTTAGCACTCCAACATCTACAGAGAAACGGTTTCTGCACTTCTTCAGTTGTTTGGGGATTCAGTCAATCCCTCAAAGGTGACTACCCCCAATAATGTCAAGTTTTATGGATAAGGCAAGTCTTTACCCATCGACAACCATAACATTTATCATTGGGCTGGGGCCACCGACGTTGGGGAGCCCCATGATATCCCAACCTACCCCCAGTGTGATTGGGTTTTGCAGCCTGGTAACGCTGCTCAAAGCGCCATTTCAAGCCGTTCATAGATTAACATCCCCATGATTTCCCATGCCTTTTCACCAAGGTTGAAACCACACAAATTGCGGACTCCAAAGTTCATGAGAGCTCCGTAAGCCATCATAAACCACCATGAACCATCAGCACCTCTGGTCGGGTGACCTCCTCGGGTCAACTTGGTCAAGACCTTGGTGCCTTCCCGCGCGTTCGTGGGGACCGTCATGGGGGCCATGGCCAGGACGGCCAAGACTGCCTGACGCCCAGGGATTTTCGGTCACCTCGAAGGGTCCAGAGAAGCTGAAGGCGAGCAGGTTCACTAGTGGCAACTTTATTGGAAACCATAATTTTTTCGCATCACATCTGGGGGGTTCCTTTGACTCTGCCAGCAGCAGGGAAAAAAATCAATATCTAACAGCACGGAACGAAAAACAGTTTATATATATATATATACGATTATATATATACATACACATGTGTGCGTGTTTCATACAATAGAAGATAATATAATATACAATAATCATGTTCCAGTCTCGTTTTGAGGGGTCTACATAAGTCAGCTTCCAAGCGGCAAATGACCAGTGACATCTCTCATAAACATGTCCATCACCTGACTTAAGTCTTGTGTCAACCCTCCCTTTTACGTGATCATCGGACATCACCATCCCAGGATATAAAATCAATACATAGCAGGACATTGTAGCAGCATGTGGCAGCTAAATGTGCCAAGGAGCACCGAAGCACCAGCCAATGACCCATGGTTTTGGCGGCGCCCCACTGGATCAGGCAGTGAACCGAAATAATCTGGGTATGAAACCTGGAACATATGCCATTGGAAAACATTGGAAAACTACATAGCAGTAGTACCGCACAAGGCGGTGGCGGAAGTTTCAAAAATAGGAAACCTATAGGAGAGCTTGGTGTTGTGAATCACGGATGGCAGAGCGAAGCCACTGATGGACCGAAAGGTGGTTAAGGTCTCCTCTCTTTCTCTCTCTTTTTTTCTCTCTTTCTCTGACTATCTACCTGCCTACCTATCTATCTATCTATCTATCTAAATCGATCTATATCTATCTATATCTATCTATATCCATCTATCTATCTATCTATCAATCTATCTATCTATCTCTCTCTCTCTCTCTCATCTGTCTTTCCAACTATCTATCGATCTATCGATCTATCGATCTATCTATCTATCTATCTCTCTCTCTCATCTGTCTTTCCAACTATCTATCTATCTATCTATCTATCTATCTAATCTATCTATCAATCAATCTATCTATCTCTCTCTCATCTGTCTTTCCAACTATCTATCTATCTAATCTAATCTAATCTAATCTAATCTAATCTAATCTAATCTATCTATCTATCTATCTATCTATCTCTCGACCTCTCTCTCTCTCTCTGTGTCTGTCTGTCTGTCTGTCCGTCCGTCCGTCCGTCCGTCCGTCTGTCCGTCCGTCTGCCTGCCTGCCTGGCTGGCTGTCTGTCCGTCCGTCCGTCCGTCCGTCCGCCGGCCTGCCTGCCTGCCTGCCTGGCTGGCTGGCTGTCTGTCTGTCTGTCTGTCTGTCTATCTCTCTCTCTCTCTCTCTCTCTCTGTCTGTCTGTCTATCTATCTATATTCAAGCTTGAAAACGAAGCGATTCTGCGAGCCTTCCTCAGTTTTTTAACTTGGCAACATCAAAAACGCAGCAACTCAGCGAGACTTCCTCAATTTTTGAACTTGATAACGTCAAAAACGTAGCAATTCTGCGAGACTTCCTCATTTTTCGAAGTTGGCAACATCAAAAACGAAACAATTCTGTGAGACTTCCTTCAAAAATGGAAAGTTGAGTGCAGAGCTGACGGCCTCGTACCATTGCGTTTTGCGATTTTTCCAGTCCACCTGTCTGAAGTACTGCGCCTGCCACGAAAAAGTGATGCCAGGTCATACGAAGTGCTGCACCTGTCGCGCAAAATCATCTCAGCAAACCTGAAGATCTGATGCTCCAAAATGCAACCCCTCTCAGGAAATCAGCGCCCGGACCTCCTAACACCTCTGATGAACATGTCTCTTGTACTGCGCCTGCCACGGAAAATGCATCTTTGCAGATCCTCTTCAAATGTCCCACGTGCCATCGTTTTTGGAAATGCTACAAAACCCTCACGTTTTGCTCACTTTTGACAAGGTGCACAATCCCTTGCACCTGCCACGCGAAACGACATCTGAACGTCAAAAAGCGGTCCGAGCCCCTGGTGTTTTTCACATTTTAACTTCGAAATGTGCTTCGCGCGACAACACCGTGCACTTTTTCGACATCTCAACTTCCAAAAGTGGTCCGATCCGAATCCCTGGTGTTTTTCCCATTTTAACTTCGAAATGTGCTTCGTGCCACAACGACGTGCACTTTTTCGACATCTCAACTTCCAAAAGTGGTCCGGACCCCTGGTGCTTTCAACATTTTGACTTCGAATGTGCTTCGCGCCACAACGGCGTGCACTTTTTCAACATCTCAATTTCCAAAAGTGGTCCGAGAATGGTGTGTTTTGTACATTTTGACTTCGAAATGTGCTTCGCGCCACAACGCCGTGCACTTTTTCGACATCTGAACCTCCAAAAGTGGCGCGAACATGTAGTGTTTTGTACATTTTCACTTCGAAATGTGCTTCGCGCCACAACGGCGTGCACTTTTTCAACATTTCAATTTCCAAAAGTGGTCCGGAGCTGGTGTGTTTTGTACATTTTGACTTCGAAATGTGCTTCGCGCCACAACCGCATGCAATTTTTCATATGTCATCTGGCCAGCTGGCTCCGCACCCGCCGCTTTAGCGAGCCTACTTTTCGACCACAGTGTTTCGCGACTTTCCTACCTTTTCGGGCACCTGGATCTTCTTTGACTTTCTCTTGTCTGATCTTCTCTCTTCTGCTCTTCTCTTCTCTATTCTTCTGCTCCACCTCTGCTTTTCATCTGTCCATATTGTCTGAAGTTTGACTTCTAAACTTCCTTCGATCAATTTATTGAACATGCACAGGGTAGACAAAAACAACCCATGCATATATCCCCCCACTGCAACGCATGATGTAAACTCAACAATGCATCATGTCATGATACCCCCAGCAGTTCTTGGTTATGGGTAATGGTATACCCTTCAAACGGGACGGTAAGATATAATATGGAAACATCAAAAAGTGCGATTTGTTTCAGCTGTTATGTAACTCGTAACTCTTTAATGTAATCACCACTCACTCTGCTATGTCAAGAACCAAGAAGCAGTGAGGAATCAGAGCTATTCAAATATGTCATATGTGTTTCTATTTCTTCATGTGATGTGTCATTGAGCCAATCAACAGAGACATTAAGCTCATCTTCCACTCCTGTTGCCCATGCCCGTCATGTCACGGGGTGCCATATGAGTTCTTTTTTCTCACCTTTCGAACCGTGAAACTGGATCAGGTGAGGGCCATTTAAACAGTTTTGTACACAAGCATTGCGCTGTCGCCGAGGAAAGTGCAAAAACTTGATCACTGGAGTTCAACTCCCTGGTAATGATGATCTGGCTTGTGGGAGCTCACCTTGCTCAGCAATCTTAAGGCCATCAGGGGAGCTATCAAAAGTGACATTGATTTTTTGTTGGACCTTGAAATTATGGTAATCCCATGAAGCATCATTTCTGGTGGAGTGGTTTCAGGTGATATCATTCGCCCAGATCTATATGTACAAATTTGGGCACTGCCAATTCAAGTGCGCCAAGTCAACACACAGCAGCGATGCCACAAATTTGCGACCGCATCAGCTGAAGACATTGGCAGTGGCCTCTTCCAAACAAGCAGTTTTTTTGAAGTGTTCCACGATGGTCCATGGATGACATGAACCGGCAATATTTGAAAGGTACTTGCTACTTGAAGATTCAATACCCACCACCCAAAAAGAAAAAAACATAAAACATATATGCGTAAACTTGTTTAAAACTGAAAACATATGGAAAAATGGCCGCAACATCCGCAACACACCTTAAGATATCCATCCCGGCTTCCGCGCCCAAGGCCCCACTGCCTCCCCCGTCAGCGTCACTGGCTGCCGACACAAGGGGCAGCGGAGATGGCGCGAGCGACTGGCGGACACCGCAGCCTCCGCGCACTCGAGATGCCTGGGCAGGTGGGTTCAGTGATTTTCCCTTGATCTTGGTGGGATTTCATGGAATTTCAAAGGATTTCAAAGGATCTAATGGGACTTATTGGATTTAATGGGGTTGACTGAGATATATCTGGTAAAGCCTATTATAATAACCTACGAATTGGGGACGGTTCACACCATCTATTTATGGTAATTAACAATATGGATTGATTATAGTTGGGTTTACCACATGACAGGAAACCATGGTTTTTACCATCAATCATACATTGGGCTTTCCTGGAGATTTCATTTTAATCTCAACTATCTCTCTTCTCCACTGGTGAGACTGACCTAGGTAGGGGCCACAAACAAGCAGCGCAGCCACCCAATAAATGGGGAAGCCAAAAGCGCTTTGAATACAGGATAACTGAATCGTCTGCATCCTAGAAGCAACTATTCACACTCAGGCGGGCCATGCGAGCTTGATGCATTGGTCTGTTCAAATTCTGCGTCTTGAAGTTCCAAGTGGCGCTTGCGGCTTGGGCACCTTGTTTGCCGTAATATCAACTGCTGATCGTTGTTGCCTGTCACGATGTCAGGGTCACTTGGACTTCACAAACTCGGGCCGGGCGTGTCGAGGAGCATTTCCTCTGTCTTGTCAAAACGCTGTCCAAACCAAGGGCGGCCCCCTGTTTTGCAAGCCTTTGCTCTACTTGGGCAATTCGATGACTCATGCTGTCAGAATGTGCTAGCAATGCATTCAGCTGCCCTACCAGGCCACTGACGGCTGACGGCATCTGAAACCGCAACCGAACATGTTTGGTGAACTATCGCCACTAAAAGAGCAAAGAGATCGGTTCTCAATGAAGCCATCTGGGAAGCCGTGCTGGGAGTTGAAGATTTGATTGAAGATGGAGTCGCCCAGAGGATGGTCTCATTGCTGTTCGAAGTCAAGAGGCACAAGGCTTTCGTGAGATGTTCCTTCACCACAGGCAGCTGCATCTTTGCCGCGTGCCGTCGAGAGAAGCCAACACACGAAACAAGTTTCCAAATTTCTGCACATGCCATTGCAAGGAAAAGTACAAATCAGGAAATCGGGAAACGAAAAGGATTGCCCAGTGGGCCTCGCAACCAAAAGGCTTGAGCCAAAATGGCTCACTGTAGCCATTGAGTCGGCCCTTATAATCGTGGCCGGGTCCCCGTTGCTGAACCCGAAATGAAACAATGGGTAAAAAACCATTAGCACGAAGGGATGAGAATTAAACTACAACTACAGCACCCCACAAACAAAATATATAGGCAACAACAAATTCAATCACGACTTTTGAACTGGTGTTTGTTTAATTCAGTTCTATTTTTGGGGGAGGTTGCTATACAATGTAGATGAGACTTCTGCAATAGCAACTGCAACAGCACTCTCTGAACAGTTTCGGATCAGTACAGCAACTTGAGCCCGCGCCGGACCGCAGAATATTGCGGCTGCACAGTCTTTCACCGATCGAACAAATAGGTAGTGCGAAAGGGTGAAATGTGGTTGATATCGGTCGAACTCTGCGATCGTGATGCCAGAAATCATGCCTCGTCGTGCCTAAACTCTTGCATCAATATTGGTATGCTTTCTAAAATCTAATATGGGTTTGGTTGAGTTGGGTATGAGAAAATGTGTCCACATTCAAAATACCAACTTTCCATGAGTGTAATCGTCCACCCGTCCGACAACCAGTCCGTGATTTACCCGTCCAACAAAACAGTTCCCAAGCTTTCACCTCAACCCTGCATGAGTGAACTCTGACTCAAAATCGGGGAGTTATACAAATAGTGACTGTTAAATTACTATGAGCTCGTTCCACTCCCCCTAGCAAACTGATAAACACACGGTGTGCCTCAAAGGGTGAACACCCCCAGCCCCGGCCACGCTGCAAGGGGTGCCCACATCGCAATGCCACCACGGGTGGCCGCAAGCGCTGTAAGGCAACGGCCGCAGATGCCGCACCCTCCTCAGCGACACGGTCTGAGCCGGTTCAATGGATGGGATGTGAACAATCTCCAAATGGTGATTTACTGTAATGGTGTTGAACTGGTGATAAAATAGTGATTAGTGATTTAATATTAATATGATTGAATGGGATTGAATTGAATTGTGATCATCGTCAATGGGGATCTGCTCTGTTTTAATCGGGGATTTTCAAGTCACAATGGGTTTAATACTAAAATGGTCTAATGACATCTAATGACTGGATGAGTTGGGGGGTACCCCCATTTTAGGAAACCTCCAAATAGATAAACAAGGTAGAGAAATGAGATAGACAGGAAAAACTAGACGACGGTTGGCCCGAGAGCGAAAAACACGTCCTTCAAGCAGCTCTGAGTATGGTAGTCGTAAAAAATAGTCGGTGAATGGTTGGTGAATTTGATATGAGCTATGGAGGGGAAAGTTGTGAAATTACACGCAGACGCTTTTACACACAAACACTTTCACAGACGCGTTTACACACAGAGACTTTTACACACAGACGCTTTTACACACAGACACTTTTACACGCAGACGCTCTTACACAGAAGCTTTTACACACAGACTCCTTTACACACAGACGCTTTCACAGACGCGTTTACACACAGAGACTTTTACACACAGACGCTTTCACAGACGCGTTTACACACAGAGACTTTTACACACAGACGCTTTTACACACAGACACTTTTACACGCAAACGCTTTTACACACAGAAGCTTTTACACGCAGATGCTTTTACACACAGAAGCTTTTATACACAGACACTTTTTACACACAAACGCTTTTACACACAGACCCTTTTACACACAGACCCTTTTACACACAGACGCTTTTACACACAGAGGCTTTTACACGCAGATGCTTTTACACACACACACACTTTCATACACAGAGGCTTTTACACACAGAAGCTTTTGAAGAGTGTCTCTATATGACATTTTATGGTCCTGAACTCAAACTGTTCTGTTTTTGACATCAAGCACATGATGGCATCGAGCTCTGTTGCAAACGTTTGCAGACATTTCACTAGTGAAGTATTGTCACATGTGTCATTTACAGCATCATGGTACCGATCTTTTTTGGGCCAATTATGTGGGATTTTCCATAATAAAATGAAATAACATGTGTCATACGCAGCATCATGGTACCGAGCTTTTTTGGGCCATTCATGTGGGATTTTCCATACTAAAATGAAATGACATGTGTCATACACGGCATCATGGTACCGAGCTTTTTTGATAGTTTCTGTGGGATATTCCCAGAATAAAATGAGATAACGCGTGTCATTTACTGCATTATGGTATTGGACCTTTTTTTGTGCAAACGTTTGTAGACATTTCACTAGTGAAGTCTTGTCACATGTGTGGTTTACAGCATCATGGTACCGATCTGTTTGGGCCATTTATGTGGGATTTTCAATAATAAAATGAAATAACATCTGTCATGCACGGCATCATGGTACCGAGCTTTTTTGGGCCATTTATGTGGGATTTTCCATAATAAAATGAAATAACCTGTGTCATACACAGAGGCTTTTACACACAAACGCTTTTACACGCAGATGCTTTTACACACACACACATACTTTCACACACAAACGCTTTTACACACAGACGCTTTTACACACAGAGGCTTTTACACACAGACGCTTTTACACACAGACGCTTTTACACACAGACACTTTTACACACAGACACTTTTACCCACAGAAGCTTTTACACACAAACACACACACACACACGCTTTTATTTTACACACAAACACACTTTCACACACAGAGGCTTTTACACACAGACGCTTACACAGAGACTTTTACATACAGAAGCTTTTACACCCACACACACATACACACACACACGCTTTTCTTGTACACACACACACACACTTTCACACGCAGAGGCTTTTACACACAGACGCTTACACAGAGACTTTTACACACAGACGCTTTTACACACAAACGCTTTTACACAAAGACGCTTTTACACACAGAAGCTTTTACACACAGACTCCTTTACAAACAGACGCTTTTACACACAGAAGCTTTTACACACAGACACTTTTACACACAGACGCTCTTACACAGAAGCTTTTACACACAAACTCCTTTACACACAGACGCTTTTACACACAGAAGCTTTTACACACAAACGCTTTTACACACAGGCGCTTTTACACACAGACTCCTTTACACACAGACGCTTTTACACACAGAAGCTTTTACACACAGACGCTTTTACACACAGACGCTTTTACACACAGACGCTCTTACACACAAACACTTTCACACACAGAGGCTTTTACACACAGAAGCTCTTACACACAGAGGCTTTTACACACAGAAGCTTTTACACACAGACGCTTTTACACACAGACGCTTTTACACACAAACGCTTTTACACAGACGATTTTACACACAGACGCTTTTACTCACAGACACTTTTACACACAGACCCTTTTACACACAGACACTTTTACACACAGACACTTTTACACAAAGAAGCTGTTACACACAGAAGCTTTTACACACAGACGCTCTTACACAGAAGCTTTTACACACAGACCCCTTTACACACAGACGCTTTTACACACAGAAGCTTTTACACACAGAAGCTTTTACACACAGGCGCTTTTACACACAGACGCTTTTACACACAGACGCTTCAGACGCTTTTACACACAGACCCTTTTACACACAGACAATTTCACACACAGACGCTTTTACACGCAGACGCTTTTTGCACACAGACGCTTTTACACACACACACACTTTCACACACAGAGGCTACTACACAGAGGCTTTTACACACAGACGCTTTTACACACAGACGCTTTTGCACACAAACACTTTTACACAGACACTTTTTCACAAACGCTTTTACTCACAGACGCTTTTACACACAGAACCTTTTACACACAGACACTTTTACACACAGACACTTTTACACAAAGAAGCTGTTACACACAGATGCTTTTACACACAGACGCTCTTACACAGAAGCTTTTACACACAGACTCCTTTACACAAAGACGCTTTTACACACAGAAGCTTTTACACACAGACACTTTTACACACAGACGCTCTTACACACAGAAGCTTTTACATAGAGACTTTTACACACAGACACTTTTACCAACAGAAGCTTTTACACACACACGCGCACACACACTAGACAAGAATGGATCATTATATGATCCGGCAGGAACTGAGTCCTGTGACATGCAGATTAGATTAGTTATTTACTTAGATAGGATGAAATTATATATATATGGGACTATGGTGACCACCAGCTGCGTCTTATAATTGCGCCCAGGTGCGTCACCACAGTCCCGCTGGTACGTTTACACGGGTCCCCGGGAGGTGTCTTCGTTGGTCGCCGACCTCCCAGGGACCCCGGTGACCCCCCGCGCATATATATGTAATAAGTAAGAGAAGTTTTACGTCTATTCAGACGATACACACACACACACCCTGCCTCCGGTGCGCGTAAAAATGAGATGAAAGTGAGGATGAACGGGGGATGAAAATGAGATGAGAGTGACAATGAGATGAATGTTACTTAACCAGGACGCGAAGAGGGGAACGCAAAAGAAGAGGGAAGGAGCAAACACACACCAACACACCTAGCCCGGAGCGGGCGAACCCTGAAAAGGCAAGGGAAAAGAAAAAGGCGGAGGGTCGACGGACACGGACCAAGACCAGCGGAGGGGGGGGAAGACGGAAGCGCCTGAACCAACCTGCCAAAGCGAAAACCTACAAACACCTAAGCACGCGACGGAACCAACCTACCTGGGGAGGGAGGAGAGCATGAGATAGGGGACCAATGGGGAACTAGTTGGTGAAAACAAAACCGGAAAACAGGATTCAGCTCCTAAACCTACAGGTCGTGCGTTGTGCCAATCCAGGCCCGTAGTCCAGTCAGCCCCAAGGGCATAAGACGGCTTTCAAGTTCCAACGAATTAGGTGCACAATATGTTTCACCTCACCAGACAACCAAAAGGAAAAAGACCACACCTGAAAGACATGCGCCTGTCTTTTCACAATGTCTTGAAATGATGTCGTGTAGCTGCAAAGGTTGCTGCAAAAAACGGAGGTTTCTGAAGTTCGGCACGGCTTCACAGTTGAAGAAACGCATCGGCGAGTAATCCCTGGGACATCCGGAGCAGCAGGAGAACTCAAAATGGCTGACAAACCGTAAGGCCAGCTGTTGCAGTTTACTTAGATGAATTACCAAATTAAAATGTGTTAATTCGGCAGTCAGGACAGTCGTCACTCACCCTAAAGAGGGTTGCCTCAAATGGCTCCATGGCACCATGTCGGAGCCACCATGGAAATCACACTAGACAAGAATGGATCATTATATGATCCGGCAGGAACTGAGTCCTGTGACATGCAGATTAGATTAGTTATTTACTTAGATAGGATGAAATTATATATATATGGGACTATGGTGACCACCAGCTGCGTCTTATAATTGCGCCCAGGTGCGTCACCACAGTCCCGCGGGTACGTTTACACGGGTCCCCGGGAGGTGTCTTCGTTGGTCACCGACCTCCCAGGGACCCCGGTGACCCCCCGCGCATATATATGTAATAAGTAAGAGAAGTTTTACGTCTATTCAGACGATACACACACACACACGCTTTTCTTTTACACACACACACGCACAGAGGCTTTTACACACAGATGCTTGCACAGGGACTTTTACACACAGACGCTTTTACACACAAACACTTTCACACACAGAGGCTTTTACACACAGAAGCCTTTACAAAGAGACTCCTTTACACACAAACGCTTTTACACACAGACACTTTTACACACAGACACTTTTACACACAGACTCCTTTACACAGAGAGGCTTTTACACACAGAAACTTTTACACACAGACACTTTTACACACAGACACTTTTACACAAAGAGGCTTTTACACACAGACGCTTTTACACACAGACACTTTTACACACAGACGCTTTTGCACAAACGCTTTTACACACAGACTCTTTTATACACAGACGCTTTTACACACAGACGATTTTACACACAGACGCTTTTACACACAGACACTTTTACACACACAAAAGCTTTTACACACAAACGCGTTTACACACAGAAGCGCTTTTACACACAGACACTTTTACACACAGACGCTGTTACACACAGACCCTTTTACACACAAACACTTTCACACACAGAAGCGTTTACACAAAGACTCCTTTACACACAGACGCTTTTACACACAGAAGCTTTTACACACAGAAGATTTTACACAAAAACAAAACTTTCACACACAGACGCTTTTACACAGAGGCTTTTACACAGAGGCTTTTACACAGAGGCTTTTACACACAGACGCTTTTACACACAACAGACACTTACACAGACACTTTGAAACACAGACGCTTTTACACACAGACGCTTTTACACACAGACCCTTTTACAGACAGACGCTTTTACACACAAACACTTTGACACACAGACGCTTTTACACACAGATGCTTTTACACACAGACACTTTTACACACAGAGGCTTTTACACACAGAGGCTTTTACACACAGACACTTTTACACAGACGAAAGCGTTGCGATTGACTAAGAAAAATCGCAATTTTTCTTCAGTTTTTGACGTCCAACGTCCATTTCGTGCGAAAGGGTTGCGATTGACGGATACACTAGCAAGCATTGTCACCCTCAATCTCTAACAGTTCCATGTCGTGCGGTCAAAGTACACACAAAATCTTTTACACACAAACGCTTTTACACATGGTGCTTTTACACAAACACACTTTGACACACAGACGCTTTGACACACAAAAGCCTTTACACACAAACGCTTTTACACACAGACGCTTTTACACACAGACGCAACGCTTTTACACACAGACGCTTTTACACACAGACGCTTTTACACACACTAGCTTTTACACACAGACGGTTTTACACACAGACGCTTCTACACGCAGATACGTTTTACACACGCACACACGCTTTCACACACAAACGCTTTTACACACAGACGCGTTGACACACAAACGCTTTTACACACAGACGCTTTTACACGCAGATGCTTTTTTACACACGCACATGCTTTTTTACACACGCACACACGCTTTCACACACAAACGCTTTTACACACAGACGCTTTTACACACAGACACTTGTACAGAAACGAAAGCGTCCATCGCAATTTTTCCTCAGTTTTTGACGTCCAACGTCCATTTCGTGCGAAAGGGTTACGATTGACCAAGTAAAATCGCAATTTTTCCCTCAGTTTTTGACGTCCAACGTCCATTTCGTGCGTAAGGGTTGCGATTGACAACTCAAAGTCGCAATTTTTCTCAGTTTTTGACGTCCAACGTCCATTTCGTGCGTAAGGGTTGCGATTGACAACTCAAAGTCGCAATTTTTCCTCAGTTTTTGACGTCCAACGTCCATTTCGTGCGAAAGGGTTGCGCGCGACGCATCAAAATCGCAATTTTACCTAGGTTTTGGACGTCCAACGTCCATTTCGTGCGAAAGGGTTGCGTTTCGTGGCACTCCGGCGGCACCGCCCCCGCCTTAAGAGAGAATAGAAGAAGAGCGAGAGGAGATCTGCAGATGTGAAGGTGTGAAGATGTAGATCTGCAGGATGTGAGAGTGTGAAGATCTAGATCTGCAGGTGTGAGGGTGTGAAGATCTAGATCTGCAGATGTGAGGGTGTGAAGATCTAGATCTGCAGGTGTGAGGGTGTGAAGATCTAGATCTGCAGGTGTGAAGGTAGATCTGCAGGTGTGTGAAGATCTGCAGATGTGAGGGTGTGAAGATCTAGATCTGCAAGATGTGAGGGTGTGAAGATCTAGATCTGCAGGTGTGAAGGTGTGAAGATCTAGATCTGCAGGTGTGAAGGTGTGAAGATCTAGATCGTGAAGATGCAGATGTGAGGGTAGATCTGCAGGTGTGAGGGTGTGAAGATCTAGATCTGCAGATGTGAGGGTGTGAAGATCTAGATCTGCAGGTGTGAAGGTGTGAAGATCTAGATCTGCAGGTGTGAAGGTGTGAAGATGTAGTATAACGGCTGCTTTTTTACGAAGAACCCTTCGCAGGCGCTCTCGGGAACAACTGTTCTTTGGACCATCCCCACCTTGACAAACTATTCTGACATAGTCTCTGACATATCATGTGGAAGTATTTACAGTATGGCGTAAATATGTTGACATTCTATCTGACAGTCTTTCTGGCATATACTCTGACTTTCTCTCTGGCATTCTATCTGGCATTTGTTCTGACATACTTTCTGGTATCTATTCTGGCATTCTATCTGGCATATATTCTTGACATTCTTTCTGGCATCTATTCTGACATTCTATCTGACATCTATTCAGATATACTTGCTGGCATCTATTCCGATATTCTTTCTGGCATTCTCTCCGGCATGTGTTCAGATTGTTCAGGTCCAGGCGTGCCCAGCTGCATCCGGAGCTGGCGATATGGTGCTCGGGTCCAGGCAAGGCCCAAAGGAAGCAAGGGGCGAAGGAAGGAGTGAAGGAGCGAGGGCGTGAAGGGGTTGCACTTTTTAAATAGATACCCTCACCTGGCAGGTGGGGAATAAGGTATGTATATATATATGTGTGTAGATCAATCAAGGTGGTCAGATATTTCTGAGTGGGAAATAATAATTGGATTTACCGCGGAGAATAACGTAGATAGATAGACAAACAAATAGATAGACAGATCAACGGATAGACAAAAACGTACAGTAGATAATAAATAGATAGTGATGGGCGCACACACAGACTTTGAAAATCATGTTTGTCCAAAATGCCAATTCTCCCACACTTAGTGTATGTTGGTTTCTATAAATTACATACTTCTGGGATGATCCAAAAAAGGGGTTAAGATCCATGCTATATAACACTGTCGACCCCATGGAGAAAAGAGAAAAAAGGGATCTTGTTTCCCCTCCCTATCATACTCTCGCTATCTATCTATAAAGATAGATAGATAGATAGATAGATATAGATAGATAGATAGATTAGATAGATTAGATAGATTAGATAGATTAGATAGATTAGATAAATTAGATAGATTAGATAGACAGATAGATAGATAGATAGATGGATAGATAGAAAGATAGATAGATAGATAAATAGACTAGATTAAATTAGATTAGATTAGATTAGGCGAGCTTAGATTAGATTATTTTAGATTAGATTAGATTAGATTATATACATAGATAGATAGACAGATAGATAGATAGATAGATGGATACATAGATAGATAGATAGGTAGATAGACAGATAGATAGATATAGATAGACATAGATAGATAGATAGATAGATAGATAGATAGATAGATATAGATAGATATAGATAGATATAGATAGATATAGATAGATATAGATAGATATAGATAGATATAGATAGAAATAGATAGAAATAGATAGATAAAGATAGATATAGATAGATTTAGATAGAAATAGATAGATAAAGATAGATATAGATAGATATAGATAGATATAGACAGATAGATAGATAGATAGATAGATAGATAGACATAGATAGATAGATAGATATAGATAGATATAGATAGATCTAGATAGATCTAGATAGATATAGATAGAAATAGATAGATATAGATAGAAATAGATAGATATAGATAGATATAGATAGATATAGATAGATATAGATAGACATAGATAGATATAGATAGATATAGATAGATATAGATAGATATAGATAGATATAGATAGATATAGATAGATATAGATAGATATAGATAGATATAGATGGATATAGATAGATATAGGTAGATATAGATAGATATAGATAGATATAGATAGATATAGATAGATATAGATAGATATAGATAGATATAGATAGATATAGATAGATATAGATAGAAAAAGATAGATAAAGATAGATATAGATAGATATAGATAGATATAGATAGATATAGATAGATATAGATAGATATAGACAGATAGATAGATAGATAGATAGATAGATAGATAGAGATAGATATAGATAGATCTAGATAGATCTAGATAGATCTAGATAGATATAGCTAGATATAGCTAGATATAGGTAGGTATAGATAGATATAGATAGATATAGATAGATATAGATAGATATAGATAGATATAGATAGATATAGATAGATATAGATAGATATAGATAGATATAGATAGATATTGATAGATATTGATAGATATAGATAGGTAGATGATAAATAGACTAAATTAAATTAGATTAGTTTAGATTAGACTAGATTAGATTATTTTAGATTAGATTATTTTAGATTGGATTAGATTAGATTATATAGATAGATAGATAGATAGATAGATAGATACAGATAGATACAGATAGATACAGATAGATACAGATAGATACAGATAGATAGATAGATAGATAGATAAAGATAGATAAAGATAGATAAAGATAGATAAAGATATATATATATATATATGTGTGTATATGTGTGCATATATAATATGCATGTAGAGACTTATATGCGCAGTATCTATGGGATTTAGGTATAAGAGAGCCCAACAAACTACATATAATAATTCGGAAATTACCAAGGAACTTGAACTTGTATGTCATTGTAGGGCTATTCTTGCTATCTAATGTGCTCCAGGACGGCATTTTGCTCAGAAATCTCCATGAAATGTGCAACAAAGCTTCCTTCCCAACAACTTCAGCCGCTTCATCTGGGAAGGTTTCCTGAGAGAAGTTCTTAATTTTTGGCGCACCAACACTCTGGGAGTGTCTACACATGGGGGATACCCAAAACATGGCCATGAAACATATGGAAAATGATCCATGAAATTTGGTGGTTTTCCCGCTAAATTTCCAGACAAAAAATATGGTGGAAATACTGTGGCCTCATACTTGTGGCAGAAAGACTTGTAGCTCGTGCCAAGCTAGCGGGCAGCTTGAACAAACGGGAATGACATTGGAGCCGCTCCAACTTTTGCACGCCAAAATGATTAAATATGGGCAGACCAGACTGCATCAAATTTCCGTGAAAAAATCATTGAGAATGGCAAACTATGTTTCTGGTTTTGATAATTATATTGTAGAATATCTGCTTACTACGATAATTAACTAGTCTTTTCATGTGAACATATTATGTGAACCACTCCTGGGTCATTTCTAGCCAAGCGGCCAAGCAAACACTGCAAATAGCCCCAGGCTTCAAATATATGGCATCTGGCAGGGATGTTAAAATGGTCTGAAGCGCCACTGACTGCGTGATGTCCTCAACTGGCAAAGCGTCCGCCTATAAAAAGTGAACACATGGGTTTGTCTGAAATGGAGGTGCTCATAGGTCCCACATTTGATGGTATATACAGATTTGTACAGTCATTTTCATTAGTATTCCTTGGTCATTTTTTGTGGTATATCCCATTTTCGAACAAAGCCACATGATCTAGCCAACCGAGGAACCTGTTGGTTTCAACCTCAATGGGGATCATCCGAGGTCAAATTCGCAGAGAATTATTTTTCTTCGAATTCCACACACCAGATTTCAGGATTTTCTGCAAGGATCGGATCCCGAATCCCAAAAGATAAAACATCAAATAATATCAAAAAAAAATAATCAAATTTTCACTCACCAGTAAACGGTCCTTGGGTCAGAAGTTCGCAATCCCAAGCAAGAACCAGAAAAGGAATGAAAAGGACGGATGATTTTCATCAAGCCCAAAGAAAAAACTGCTGAAGCAAATCGTTGGGAAATCGGGAAGTTCCGGATCGCTTCTCTGCGCGCCACAGTCCGCGTCATCGGCCCTTTGAGCCGGGCGCTGACCCCGGGGAGCCTGACCCCGACGGGGAGCCCGGCGCCGAGGGGGCACGACTGGGGAAGCGAGGGAAGCGAAAAGGCTTGAGTTCTCGATGGTCCAAGGTATCCTTAGTTGAGCAGTACGAAAGCACGAAACCGATAGAGAAATATCGTATCCAAGTTTATCCAAAAAGATCCAACATACAAATACCTGCGTCTTCCAATGTGTGCAAAATTGTTGCCTTTTTAGGAATTGTTGCTGGCGGCATGTTCTTCTGCCTCCGAACAATTTTTGCATTCTTGTCATTTTGCATGTGTGTTGCCGATTTTGAAACGGCGAAAAATACCCAACGAAACGGCGAAAAAAATCAAGAGCCCAAAATGCGGAACCTGAAACGTCGAAAAAAACTGGAAACGGCGAAAATTTAGGCCATCGGCGATAATTATTAGCTGTTTCGGATTTCGAGCGATAATTTTGCACAAGTGATACAAGTGGATTATCCAGGTATAATCAAATACATCTATATAGTGCATTCCATGCAATGGTGCTCAGTGGCAGCGAGTCTTCAGTGAACATCAATAGTTAGTCAGTCAATAAGACTCCGTTTCAAAGCTTAGATGACCAGGACCTAGTGTACTGACATTTGCTCACCATGGTGACTCACCCAACTGAGGACTGGCAAACCGAAGCAACAACTGCTCATATTACTCATTCAGGTAGAATGTGGAGCCGCTCGAGCCGCTTGCTTTCATCTGTTTATCTGCGCACAAGCACACACACATATATATATATATATATGTAGATAAGTATTAAAATTTTATGGGTCATATATGGACATAGTCCATACAAATATATATGTGTAATATGTATATATATATATCATTATATATATATACACAGTATACAGTATATATGTTTAATTATATATATATTATCATATAATGTTCCACAACGGCTGAACCAACTTCACTCCATGTTTCAATTCCCTTTCCAAGCAGTGAATTCTTTGCATTCACATCCAGGCCTCTGCGTCTGTGTCTCGCAACCGAGCTGCAAGTAGGAGAATGCCAAGCTCCCAGCCAGGGTAGGTGAAAGCCTCCGCCCCGGATGTCTCATCCGTCTTTGAGATGTTCAACTTGGATAATTGATAAACCCTTAACGAGGTCGTTTTCGACAAGGTGCCCCATAGTTAGCTAGGTTGGTGTAGAACTAATATAGAACAGGCATGAACAGGCTATTCTGATCTATTATGGTCAATACTGTATATCTATACAATCTATACCTATCTCATTCTATATCTATATGTGATCGTGCATGTATGTATAATTAGTGGGGCTCATAGGTCAACAAACATAACTGGCAAAGCACAGCATTGTAAACCCACCCATCTGCAAACCTCTCCCCCAATTGTAACGAGCAGCTGCAGCCACTCGCCAAGGAGTAGCATCGAGTATGGGACCACCAACCTGATGGCGTCATGCATTTTTTGGTCGACGAAGAGACCCCCTACTTCGTGGTTCAACGCCATAACTGGACTCACCCTGCTTACCCTGCTTATAACTGCGATTATAAGCCACTTGCTAAATGGGGTGAACCACTACCAGGTAAACCTTGGCTTTTGTCGCCTAGTTTTTCTGGTACATATGTTCAGCCCGATGTATATAATCGATGATGTGGCTCAAAAGCAAACCTTTCAATTGTTTAGCCCCAGTGTTTTGAGCCATTGAATACTACCGCGCACGACGGTACCAATGTATGGGATCTAACCGAAAAGGGCTGCTTGGCAGCTCCACCCTGTCCAACTCAGATCAGAAATGAGATGACAGTAAAGATTCAGGCCTTTTGTCCGTCAATGGGGATACCGCAACAGTTCCTCAATAAATGGGTGGTGTAAACCTCATCTGACCCATTTGTCACCTGAGGTTTGTCACCGATCCCGGCATATCCCGGCATATCCCAGCATATCCCAGCATATCCCAGCCATGCAGCTATCCAAAGATCAAACGAAACTTGTGGGTATGTCAAGATCCTCGTCTACCCAATTTTTGGGGGGTTGGCTTTTGGCTCACCCCCTTTAGAAAGAAACAACCAAACAATCACAGTTTAAGACTGTTTGACCTTGAAAAATGAAACAATGTATGAAACATCATGAACCATCAAATAACCGGCATAATTTTGGACAACATTTTGGGACCCATAAGCAACCCACATCAGCATTTCACATCATCTTGGATTTGCTTAAGGAGGCCCACGACAAATAAAACGGAACCTTAAATATCTCTCGCAAATCTGTGACACCCATTTTGCCAATGGCCATTTCAGGGACCTAAATTGGAGGTACCTACCATATATAAGGCCTATATACTGTAAGGCCTATGTAAGGGAATATCCCCGGTTCCCACAAAATATGATCTTATATTCTACATGGTACTGTACCTCCATTTTAGGATCCTGAAATTACCATAGATTTTGTGACACATGATCTCAACTAATTAATTATTGCAAATCCGCAATGGATCGACATCTCTGACACTGGCCGTTCGTCGGAAAACGCTTTGGAGGATGCTTTGATGGTCACTACCACCTCACACCAGGTGCGCTGACGCTGCATGGCTCTTCCTCGAGGTGATGGTGTTGAGACATCGAGGGGCTTTAAGGTGATAGGTGCATCCTGAATGAGATATGTATGCGCATTGAATTTTGACAAGATTTTTTCCATCAATCTAATTTGTATTTGCTTCTATGTTCTCCTTATTATGTGTGAATTTTGGGTAGCTCCAAGTTTGATGCTTGATCAAAATTGATGATCATTCAAAATGGCACTTTTGGAGCGTCACCTAGTTTTAAACATGTCCATATGGCCATATGGGTGTGTCTGAAGATAGGAAACGCCAAAATCTCATCACGTGTCCTCTTAAAAAGGCGATTTGGTGCATAGCCCATATACAGACAAACCCACATACCACACTGTTGCAAATGTTCCCAGCATCATCACATCTCCATCACATTCCCGTCTTATCCCCTATATATTATATACTAATTTCAAGCCAATCTCTTTTGTTGATGATTCTATTCCATTCAGCTCAAACACACCGAAGTCTAATACTGCTGGACATATCCACATTCCCATTCTATATCCTCATTTTGCTGGTTGAACCTCCATTTATTGTCGGTACAACCCAATATCTCCAACATAGATATCCCATTCTCAGTTGCTTGGTTTTTGAACCCCCATTAGCATCCATTCACTACATAGTTATCACTTGTATCAAATGTATCTGCTAACCACTATCAGTTATAGATAGTTATAATACAATCGCACTACAGTTGTATTACAGTTCTATCAGTCATATCCCATATGCTCCATGTATGGTATATTTACCTATATACATGACTGGGTGATTTTGTTCGGGCAAATGTAGGCAAATATTCCAGCACCATGGAGCATATGGATATGGGATAACAGTGTGTTAATTAATAATGGCTTTACACTGAGATTATTAACATTTGGATACTAAGGGGATGTAAAACCATTGATTCACCATGTGTAATGGAACAATGCCCAAGAATACCCTTCATCAAAAAAACGATGGGCGTCCTGGTCCATAGGCCCTCGGCCCCTCCTTGTTCTGTGTGCAATTCACCGTCCCATGGGGGCCAGTCGGTCAGGGAGTTGGCAAACCAGCCACAGCGCCTGGGCAGGATATTTTGAAGTTGGATTTGTGGGGGACAATGGGACCTGGGATGTTCTCAAATATCTTAAATTCTATATATATTTATATGTGTAATTAATAACTATTAGTAATTATATAATATTAAAAAATATTATGATCATGTATAGACATAACCAGCTTGATATGCTCTGAGTCTGGAAACTGATGAGGGGACCCTCTGGTAGTCTAACAGTTTGCCACAGGAAATGGCTCTATTCAACGGGTAAATCATCTATATACTTTCATTGTTCATTTCCAATGGCTTAGCTTGCCAGAGGGAAGTCACTTTGAGGTGTGACATATGGGATCAAAGATGGTTGAAAGAATCCACCCCATGGTGAAGTCAAAATCCAAGTCGCAAGCATTGGTTCTGGATCACACCACCAGCCATCACTTCCTGATGGCTGACCAACCACAATCCAGGATGCATACGGGCCAAGTAGACATAGAAACATATTCATGGAGATAATCATGAATATGCACATAATAAATATATATATATATACACTTTATATATATATATACATACTATATATATATATATACATACTATATATATATATGCGCATATATATATACACTTTATATATATACATACTATATATATACATACTATATATATATATGCGCATATATATATATATGCGCAATATACACATGCACAAGCGATAGACATTATGCCAGGTTGTATACAAGTATAAAACGTTCTGCATGTGTTTACCGTCAATTTCGTTGGATACAGTATCTAACCTTGCTTGCGCACTGAGGATTTCATCCTGTTTCATTTGTTGATAAAAACTTCACTGTTCCGGTCCAAAAACAACCCCAACAAGGGAAGCCCTTACTAGCCTTGGTCATCCATTACTGAAGGATGGGAAAACCCATGTTGTCATATCTTGTGATATGTTGTGACGCTACTGTAACATCTTGGCTGGCCGGAGGTTTGAAGCGCTAAACCTGCCAACACTCAGTCGCGAACCCACGAGCTTTACCAAAACGTTGTGGCATCCCAAAGGCATCGCACATTTTCATCAATTTCCGAGTTGATTCTTCCGCCATCTTCCGCCTCATGATTATCAGCTAGGTGGTTTAAAATAAAAACATCCTCAACCATTCCCAACCAATCATCCCAATCATCTCAAATCTGCTTGAAAAGCATATCATTATCCCAGCAAATCTGGTTGAAAAACAAATCTTTGAACCCCCCAGTCCCCACAGGTCTGCCGGGCGTCACCGTGATGGGTTCGCAAATTGTCGCAGCCTTGATGATCGATGGGGCCGAAGCCTTGGAGGGCTAGGAAATTCACGGGAAATTCATGGGAAGATCCATGATCGATGGAGGTTTCAATGGGAAAATCATCGAACTAGCTGGATCTAGCTGGTGGATTTTCCAACAAACCATGCTGGAGGGATCCGGATTGGAAAATCCCTTGATAAATCTGGCCGTTGAAGTATGAACTCCGGCGGGGGTGCGATCACAAAGAGCAACTCTTTCCAATTTCAACAAAGCCCAGCCAACGAAACCATGTCGGCACTGGACCACATTGTGATGTGTGTGCGTACACTTGCAAGGCATAGTGTCATAAAAACATAAAACATATAAAACCATGTTCGTTGCAGTTCGTTGGTTTCTCAGCTAATGTGGGGTAAACTAGCAGGAAGATGTGGAAACCAATGGTTTCCCTAGGCCCTAGGAAAATGATCCCCAAACATAGGATTCTCCGATGTTCTCCGCATTTATGTGACTTCACAGCAACACATCATCTGCCAGGCACCACAGCGCGCGCATTGTCGCGGGTCAACCATGGCCGCCGCCACTTCGTTCAGTTCCTCTGGCGTGGTGAGGCTGTCATCATCCAACATGTGGAAGTGAACATCCCCAAAAAAGGAGATTGATGTGGGCAACCCAATAATAAACAATCCTTGACAACACCATTTTTATGGGTGGAGTTCAAAACATCCCCAAATGGTAGGTTGATTATTAGGTGGTCCACATTACAGTACATCCTGGATCATCCTGAGTTCGCTAGTCTTTTTAAAACCATCCAACATATCAAACACGTCATGTGCAGCACCAGAAATGGCATTGTATACACCAAGGATGAAAGGAATCAAGTTCTGGATTTCCTTGCCATGTTCATGTGCTGCTGCTGGTTCCGTTCCTACTCTTGGTCACCACTGATGAGTCATCACTAAATCAACCAATTCACTAAATACATCTAAATACTGGGATACTATCCTATTACCAGTAGTACCGCACAAGGCGGTGGCGGAAGTTTCAAAAATAGGAAACCTAAAGGAGAGATTGGTTGTTGTGAATCACGGATGGCAGAGCGAATCCACTGATGGACCGACAGGTGGTTGGAGGTGTGTTTTCTGGAGTGGCTGCAATGGTTGCAGTGGTCACCTCACCACAACTGCTGGATGTAGTGTGGTGTAGTGCAGTTGTAGTTGCAGGTGTAGTTGTAGCTGTAGTGTAGTTAGTGGAGTTGTAGTTTGTAAGTTGTAGTTGTAATGTAGTGTAATTAGTGTAGTGTGGTTGCAGTTGCAGTTGCAGTTGTAGTTGTGATGTGGTGTAGTTAGTGTAGTGTATTGTAGTGTACTGTAGTGTTGTGTACTGTAGCGTGGCATAGTGCAGTGTAGTCTAGCGTATTGTAGTGTAAAGTACTGTAGTTGTAGTTGTAGTGTAGCATCGTGTAGTGCAATGTAGTGGTCGTTGCAGTAGTAGCAGTAGTAGCAGTAGTAGTAGTAGTAGGAGTAGCACTAGCAGTAGCAGTAGCAGCAGTAGCAGTAGCAGTAGCAGTAGCAGTAGCAGTAGCAGCAGCAGCAGCAGCAGTAGTAGTAGTAGTAGGAGTAGGAGCAGGAGTAGGAGTAGGAGCAGTAGGAGTAGCAGTAGGAGTAGCAGTAGGAGTAGCAGTAGGGGTAGTAGTAGTAGTAGTAGCAGTAGTAGCAGTAGTAGCAGTAGTAGTGGTAGTGGTAGTGGTAGTGGTAGTGGTAGTGGCTGTTGTAGTAGTTGTAGTAGTGCAATTAGTGTAGCGTAGTCAGCGTAGCGTAATTGGATGTAATTAGTGTGGTGTAGTGTAATTAGTGTTGTGTAATGTAGCGTCGTATATTTGCACTTGTAGTTGCAGTTGTAGTTGTCACCTATCTACCTACCTACCTACCTACCTATCTATCTATCTATCTAATTATCTATCTGCAAGCTTGAAAACGGAGCTATTCTGCGAGACTTCCTCAGTTTTTGAACTTGGCAACATCAAAAACGCAGCAAATTCTGCAAGACTTCCTCAATATTTCAACTTGACAACATCAACAACGAAGCAATTCTGCGAGACTTCCTCATTTTTCGAAGTTGACAACATCAAAAACGAAACAATTCTGCGAGACTTCCTGCAAAGATGGAAAGTTGCGTGCAGAGCTGACGGCCTCGTACCAATGCGTTTTGCGATTTTTCCAATCCATCTGTCTGAAGTACTGCGCCTGCCACGAAAAAGTGATGCCAGATCATAGGAAGTGCTGCACCTGTCACGCAACATCATCTCAGCAAACCTGAAGATCTGATGCTCCAAAATGCAACCCCTCTCAGGAAATCAGCGCCCGGACCTCCTAACAGCTCTTGTACTGCACCTGCCACGGAAAATGCATCTTTGCAGATCCTCTTCAAATGTCCCACGCCTGCCATCGTTTTTGGAAATGCTACAAAACCCTCACGTTTTGCTCACTTTTGACAAGGTCCGCAATCCCTGGCGCCTGCCACGCGAAACGACATCTGAACGTCCAAAAGTGGTCCGAACCCCTGCATGGTGTTTTTCACATTTTAACTTCGAAATGTGCTTCGCGCCACAAAGGCGTACACTTTTTCGACATCTCAACTTCCAAAAGTGGTCCGAGCCCCTGGTGTTTTTCACATTTTAACTTCGAAATGTGCTTCTCGCCACAACAGCGTGCACTTTTTCGACATCTCAACTTCCAAAGCTGGTCCGAACGTGCAGTGCTTTTACCTTTTTCACTTGCAAATGTGCTTCGTGCCACAACGGCGTGCACTTTTTCGACATCTCAACTTCAAAAATCCGAACGTGAGGTGCTTTTAGCTTTTTCACTTGCAAATGTGCTTCGCGCAACAAGGGCGTGCAATTTTTCATCTGTCATCTGGCCAGCTGGCTCCGCACCCGCCGCTTTAGCGAGCCTACTTTTCGACCCTCTGGAGACACAAATCATTGGAAAAACAGTGTGTTTCGCGACTCTCCTACCTTTTCGCGCACCTGGATCTTCTTTTTTTTCTCTTCTCTTCTCTGACTCTTCCCATCTCTGCTTTTCATCTGTCCATATTGTCGGAAGTTTGACTTCTAAACTTCCTTCGGTTATCCCATTCGTTCATTATTACGAACCAATTCCATCATTATCAATGATTTACCCATCATTATCTCACTAAACCAATCAATCCTATGATTATCCTGTTCTTATCCCATCATAATACTACTGGGATACTAAATTATGAAATAATATAATTAATGATATATCATTATTATATCGGGGTGCCAATTCATTATGTGAAGCTGTGCAGGAGTTTTAGAGCGGTCTAACTTTTGTGCATAGGCCTCAGGCTTTAAAATGCACAAAAACAATGAAAACTGGCTCTGCAATAAAATGCCTTGCCACCAAATTCATGCTTGAATGTGCATCCATCATCATCCAATTTCATCCAATTTTGAAGACCCTCAGAAACGCATCTTTAAAAAGAGGTCAGGAAATCCATTTTAGATAGGGGTATTTTAGAGTGAAGGTGCCCAAATATTTAGTGTGTGTTTTTTAAATAGCATTCTATAGCAACAAAATACGGTGGCATTCTTTCGTGGCAATTCCTTAAAATTACTTAAAAATCCTTTAAATTCCTTAAAATTCGAAAAAATCCTTAAAAAACCTTAAATATCCTTTAAAATTTAAAAACATTAAAGATCCTTAAAAATCTTCCGAATTCCTTCAAATTCCTTTAAATTCCTTAAAAATCCTCTAAGGTTCCTTAAAATTCCTTAAAACTCTCTAAATTCCTCTAAATTCCTTAAATTTCCTTAATATTCCTTATAATTCCTTTAAAACTCCTTAATATTCCTTAGAATTCCTTCAAAATCCTTAAAATTCACTGATCTAAAATCACATGCCCAATAAAATTGATATAAAAAGATCCTGGAAAAACACTGGTTCCATTCTGCAATAAAATGCTCCAAGGAAACATTTTTTTTGCAATAAAATGAGAATGGAATTTTAACATGTTAAAAATCATCAGGACTTACCTTTACAATAAAATGCCTAGCCCAACCCCCCAACAATAAAATGACTAGCCTGACATCAATTCTAAAATTCCAATACATTAAGATTTTCGTTTAAACTATGCACAGGTTCACCAGTTCTAGAGTGGAAATTGCCACGGGGATATTATTATCCCAATTATCCCATTATACTAATCATCGCTAAATCAACCAATACTGTCTCCCCCCCTTGCAGGGGTAGGAATATGAACCAAAATTCATATCGTATTTGGTAGCAGCATGACCTGAGCGTTCTCGTACTAGTTTTACTTCCAGTCTGGCTGGTTTGTGGAACCAACCCAATTACATGGGACTATGAAGAGGTGCCTACCTTTTACCTCCACAAAATTGGAGGTGCCAATGCTCATCAACTGCACACTATGAATTTCACAATTGCCGCAGGTTGGAAAACCCACATGTGTCGCATATTTCACGTTGATTCTTCCTTCATTGTTGCTGATTTGGGCATGTACCCTGGTGAACCCAGAAACAGCAATAGCAAATGGGAGTTCATCCAGGTAGCACTATAGCTTTGACCCATCAGCCCGTCGGTCTGGGGCCAAACTTGAGCCAAAATTCAGATTGTTGGTTATACAAGACCTTTAAATTACACAGGGAACCCCAAAACGCCAGGCAAATCGTCTTCCAGGCGCCATGTTTGGGCTGTATCCCATGATAGCCCAATGATATCTCCACGATATCCCGGTACTATGCTTCGTTTGCGCAGGATTGCGCCACACCTCGTAGCCCAGTGCTGCTCCACTCGCATCCAGCAACGGCAGGTTGCGAAGGACCGAGAGCACTCCATCCACCATGGCATACGCAGCCGCCTGCCATGGGAAAGGGTAGGTTACTTGCAAAAAAGTAATCCATAAGAATTCTACTTTTCAACAACTAGGAGCGTTCCAGCAGTGCTCCAGAAAAACATGGACATGCCGGAGGTTGCATTGTTGATGTTTTTCCTTACATGTCCATCTCATGGTAGATGAGCCGCTTTAAGTCTTTCTTCTGTACGAGTAGATCATGGCAAGCATTTGTTCAAGAGAGTTCTGAGCAAACCCCAACTTGTATATAACACTTTTTTCAAGCTCAACTACTATAGTTCAAGGTTTCAAGTTTGGGTGGGTTTTCATATTACAGTATGTCCAACAACATGCATAGAATGGTTGGCTCATTGTCAACGAAGAACATTTCCCCACATGGGGGTTTCCAATCCATGGATCCATGGGGTATATACCCGTAAATCATTCATCTGTTTTTCCCATAAACCATCCAGCTATTGGGGTACCCCCATGACTTACTAAGCCACCAAATGTTTTTGAACCCATCCACAAGTCTCACAGGCCGGCCTGCACTAGCGTGATCAACAGAACCGCCAGAGTAGAGTCGGTGGCGCCATGCCTCTACGATAGAATCTTGGGCACGCCATCCCCTATAAATGTGGTTTTTAAAGGGAAATGCCGACTATAAATGGTGGATTTTCCATTGCAATGTTTGATTACTCGAGGGTAATAAGACCCTATATAACTAGAGTCCAATAAAGCCCTTCACTGCGTTTGTTCCTTCAACACCACTTGGCCACCGGGTGGTTTCGACCAAGTCATTGTGCTCATTTGCTGGCGGCTTCGACCTCCCTCACAAATAGGATAATCCAAAAGGAAACTGCGTTTGCTTAAAGAAATTAAAACCGCCAACCACTTCTATTTGTTGCATACTTACAACTCATATCCGAGTTTTCTTGGTGATATTCCTGTTTGAGCCGTGATCAAAAGGTCTTGTCTTTCTGAAGGCTTTAAGGGAATGTTTACGCCATTACTCCTGTGCTTACGCGCCCCCAGTTTTAGTTTGCGCGCGGGAATAGCTTATGCTGGTCCTTACGTGAGGTCCTTATTGTCTCTCCCTTACTAAATTAAACAACTGGGTCACGTGGCGCAAATTTGTTTGCTTTTACCTCCGAATACATTAAACAAGACATGACAAATACTCTATGTCTAGATCATTTTCCTTGGGTTTCCCGGGTTTCCCAATGTTTTTTACCATCCAGATTGGTTAATTCACCGGAATGCAAACACCTTTGTCGCAGATTTTGCTGGTTAAATCCCGCCTGTTTGTTGGTGAAATCCAAGTTGTTTGCAAAAACAATGTTTTCGTTTTTGCCCGGGCCCGAGCCATGGTTTTTGCTGATGGAATCGCCTTTGGACTTGATTCTAATATAATTCCAATATGTGTTACTTAAATCCTACCTTCAAGTACTTTTCCATCCGTCTGACCCCTCGCTTTTTTATCGGTGACCAGGCTGCCGCAGTTCGGCGAAACGGTGCAGCAACTGGCTGACCCAGGAGGTGCTGAAACCCAGCCTGGAACCGGCGCAAGCATTGCTGTAAAACTCTAAGTGTATAGAAATCACAAATGAAAGACTGATACTGATGATACTGATGATGATGATGATGACGATGATGATGATGGTGATGATGATGATGATGACGATGATGATGATGGTGGTGATGATGATGATGACGATGACGATGATGACGATGATGATGATGATGATGGTGGTGATGATGATGATGATGATGGTGGTGGTGGTGGTGGCGGTAGCGGTGGTGGTGGTGGCTGGTGGCTGGTGGCTGGTGGCTGGTGGCTGGTGGCTGGGGAGTGGTGGCTGGTGGCTGGTGGCTGGTGGCTGGTGGCTGGTGGCTGGTGGCTGGTGGTGGCTGGTGGCTGGTGGCTGGTGGATGTGGCTGGTGGCTGGTGGCTGGTGCTGGTGCTGGTGCTGGTGCTGATGCTGATGCTGATGCTGATGCTGATGCTGATGCTGATGCTGATGCTGATGATGATGATGATGATGACGATGACGATGATGATGATGATGATGACGATGACGATGACGATGACGATGACGGTGACGGCGGTTGGCGGTGGTGGTGGCGGTGGTGGTGGTGGTGGTATTATCTCTGGTGTGTTTCCATATATATATATATACATACACGTGTATATATACATATAATATACTATATACATATATATATATATATATTGTATAAGTATGTGCGAGCCTGTATATATATATACAGATATCAACATATTACATATTTTGAGCTCAACCTAAATAACAATCAAGTGGATATATCAAGTATATTAGTAGTTTATATAGTAGCCCATGTTCCTACCATAAAACAAAACATTTTTTCAGTGCTATCATGGTTGTTCCCCAAAAGCTAGTGGAGAGTGGAGCAATCCCTGGACGCCAAGATTGACTGGAGTCCTTGAGCCAGGACACAACTGTGCACACCGTGCAAGTGCGCCAGATGAGGATGACATAGATCTCACCAGCAGAACATTCACCAGGAGCACGCTTGGAATCGACAGCCTAAGAAGGCAGCAAGACAATGAGGTTAAACATATCGAGGAGTTCAGCATGATCTATTGAAATCCAGTGCCTAGGGTGTACAACCTGGGTCTTAGATATCTTTGCATGTTGTTTAAGGATGAAAAACAATGGACAAAAACAAAAGTGGAACGTGCAACATGTGTTTCATTCCCCCGGTGCTTCATCTTGGCTGCGGCCATTTGTTGGGAGCAAATGCTGTTCCAGGACTGCATCCTGCCACTATGTCGAAGGCACACTACGGCACCAGGCGAATGGCACTGGCTTCTGCAATTCCGTGTTTTTTTGCTGATAGTTGCTGGGATTGGTCCTGAAGACCACTTTCAAATCAATATCTTTCAACCACCTGATGCTGGATGCTATACCTGTGAAGGAAAAAAGGATTTGTGAATTCTGGACATGGGGTTCAACATTGGCAATGAATCATCATTAATCATTAATCATTAATCAGCAATTGAACAATAATTTCATATAATTGCACGCTTTCTCGGTCAAATTGCTAGTGCACATGAGACTACATCGGTTGCACACGGTTTCACCCAGCTGCTACCCTTGGGAAATGATCATTGGTTGCCAGACCATCCGCACAAAATGCTTCGTCCCTGAAACAGTTCGTCCCAAGTAGCAGTGGTGACTTCACAGCAAACTGCCCCAAACGCCACAAGCCAGACCTGGGATTTGCCAGCTATGGGGAGCTAGATCCATTCGCAACATGAGCTTCAACTCACCAAACAATGAGCAAGTCTCTCAGTTCTTTGTGAATGTTTCTCACCTGCCAATACCTTGGAAACAGTGTAGTAAATCAATGTGTTCTGCAAGTTTTGGAGGGCCAACTTGCTGAAACGTGGCATTTGGAGGGCCCAACAGCTCCCCATTCAGAAAACGACACGAATCCCTCCGCACCGGTCCCCGTTGCGATCCAGTTGACATCAGCAACCGAAGCAAGGGCCAAAGAACCTGATCGACGCATCGCTCAAAGGCCCAACGGAGAAATCGCACAGGCACGGCCACCAACGCTGATGGATACCTGACTGCTCACCAAATTGCTTTTCCATAACTTCCAAGTGGCTACATCGATTGAAACTAACTGCCTAGCGTTTAAAACTTTCCAGGGGTGGCATCCAAACTGTCATAGATGGAATGTTCATTAATCAACATGCATACATTATCTCCATCCATCCGCTGGCAGAAATGAATCCTACATATCTCAAGCCTTTCAGAAATGGCTTCGTGCAGGACCTCAGGTTGACACTGGAGAGCCCACAAAATAGTCATCAAAGTTGCTGTGAAATGGAGCTTCATCACCCTCATATAGATTTATATATATATATATATTATAAATTTAAAACAAAAAATACACAGGTTATCCCCAGTGATCATCCTACCCCTAAGAAACAAATGAAACCAAATGCCAAAAGAGAAACTGCTATATATATATATTATACATATGTATATATATATAATCTGCCAGAATACACATCTCTGTAGAGTGGTTGGTAACCATCATGTACAGTATAATTCCAATAATGAAGTTTACCCAGATGCGAAAGTATCTTCAGTACAACTTGGTGTCGCAGGGGGTCTGGCTGTGATCTTCGGCGGATGTGCAAAACCAAGTTCCTCAGCTTAGACTCGGAAGGTCCAATTAATGAGAAAGTGGTGGTCAAGTGAAGGTACAATGCATGTGACAACTGCGTACATTCCCAACTATAAGTTATAAGTGTGAGACCTGAGCTCCAACTTAGGGTCCTGTGTCCAGTATCCCACTTGCACATCAAGTCATGGTCATGGTCCATGCTATGGTCCATACTTAGGTTATCAGTTATATCATGTTGTATCAAGTTGTACCCCGTCTTCACTAACGAGGAGTCAATAAGCGGGATACAGAATTAGCTCCAAGGCTGGCTGGATGGCTACAGTAACGATGGCTGCATATGGCTGCGACATGCACCCCAGCAAAAGAAAAAAAACACATTGACCTATTAAGCCACCCCTTCTGCCGGATCTTCACTAAGTTCACCGTTCACTCTCCCATACCCCGTTCAAAGGCTCATCAGCAAGATGCCTGTAGACAGCGCTGCAGCGGCAGCGCCTAAACTTTGACCAAAACGCAGGACAGCGCTGAGATTGCCGCCAGGAGCAATCAACGGAGAGCCTGGGTATGGTTTTGTTGAGGGAAAAGGTCAGCACAGGGGTTGCTTCTACTTTCGCATGTCGCGGCATCTCAAGTATAGGGTTTTTTGCCATGGCGTTGTGTGGTTCATATCTAAATGTAGGAATATTTTTGGGTTGTAGCAATCCTCCTGAAGAACAAGGTTTTGCCTGCTCTGTAAGCATTTGGAAGTGTCGCATTTTATCGTTAGAATTCGAACACAACATAAAAGCCATTCAGTCAAAGGTATTAGGTATTTGCATACATGGTTCCACGTCCTTCAAGTGTGTGCCAAAACGTTGCACATACTGGGCCGAGACTTCATTTCCCCTCCCATGGCCAACAGTGCCTCTAGTTTCAACCAAAAACATCTGGTGGTCGAGAGACCCACACGCAGTACTAATTCAGAATTTTCCATCAGATTTCATCAGAATGTTCAGGGTGGACAAAAACAATTAAAACCCAAAGTGGTCATCCAAAAGAATGTTGCAGGATTTCTCAAACTGGAGAGTGTGTACATCCATATGCTTCTCCCAGTCTTGCTGAGCTTCTTGTTCGCAATAGCAGGCTGCGCAAACAGGAAAAACTGATAGCTGCTGTGCAAGTAGGCAGAAACAGTGGACTGAACAGGTTTCCATAAAGGCAGCACCACATAAGTGTAGAAGAAAACCTTGGAGGAGGCGACAGGTCTGACTCTACCCGTAAAGCACCACGGTGTTCGAGAATGTATCGTCATGATCTCGTCATGTATATCATCCATTGAGACGATTCGTGACAAATCCCAGGCCTGGTTCAGGGCCACTCTTGATTCTGATGACCATCTATGACGTTGGCCTGGTTCGAGCCCCAGTCATGTTTTAAACCGAACCCTATTGGTCACAGGAGGATGGCATGGCAATGTCGTCCATGTCGTTATTCTGGTGGATATGGTGTTTCGTTTATATAGGGTGGGCGTTGAACTGTTTGTCCCGGCTACCCAGTTTGATACATGTTGAACAATACGCATAGATTCAAGGGGAGAATCAGTATCAACCCTGGTTTTCCCGGTTTCCAGGATATCACATAATTCGATGCCTCCCTGCAAGTCTGCCTCAAAGCCATGGCGCACAGCATGGATGTTCAAGAATTGATTTCACCACTGCGATCCTTACTGCTGGATTGAACCCAACTGGCACCAGCCAAACAAACATAGATAGATTAGATTTTTAAAACATGGATGGGGTTAGATTGGGTTAGATTGGGTTAGATTAGATTAGAGTAGATTAGGTTGGATTGGATTAGATTGGATGAGATTAGATTATATAGGTTAGATTGGATTGGATTATATTAGAAAAGGAAGATAAGACAGACAAGATAGATAAGATAGACAAGGTAGATAAGATAGAGAAGATAGATAAGG